TAATAGCAAAAGAATGTATAACAAGGTAAAACGGGGAGAATATAAAATCATGAAAACATTGATCCATATAAAAGAAAGCAAGGAAGGGAAGAATAGGTAACAGAAAAAACAAATAGCAAAATTATAAACTCAAACATATTAGTACTTGCATAACATGTAAATGGATTAAATGCTCCAGTTTAAAAAGCAAGACTGATTAGATTTTTTTTTAATGCATGATATAAAAGAGACACACTTTCTACATAAGGATACTAACGGGCTGAATATTAAAACATGGGAAAAAAGGCATGCACACAGTAATCAAAAGAATGGTGGTTTCCTAGGCTGATATGCAAATCTGTTTTAAAGAAAAGAGCATTACTAGAGATAAAGAGGGATGTCTCATCATGGCAAAAGAATATATCAGGGAGATATGATCATTTAAAATTTGCATGTACCTAATTAACACACATTCAAAATATATAAGACAAAACTTGATAGGAATAAAAGAGGAAACAGGAAATCTACAATGAGTATGATAGATTTTAACACACCTCTCTAAGGAATAGAATAAGCAAACAAAATGCCAGAGAAACATACAGAAGATTCATGCATCCTGACGCGCCTGACTTAATTTACATGTGTAGAACACTTCACCCAACAGCTGTAGAATTTGCATACTTTTAAAATACATGTAAAACATTTTACACACACACACACATATCAACATCTTAATGATATATCAACGTATCAAAATGTGTGGTATGCAGCTAAGCCATGCTTAGAGGAAAATTCTTGGTCTTAAATGCCTATGTAGGAAAGAAGAAAGCTGAAAGACCAATTGTCTGACTATCAATCTCAAGAAATTACATTTGGAAAAACCAAAAAACCTGAAGTAGAATGAAAGAATATAAATGAAGACATAGGATATATTCAAACAGAAAACAAGGCTGGGTATGGTGGCTCACGCCTGTCATTCCAGCACTGTGGGAGGCTGATGCAGGAGGATGGTTTAAAGCCAGCAGTTCAAAACCAGCCTGGGCACAGCCATTATTCAAAATTGTTCTGGAGCTCCTAACCAGGACAATAAGCAAACAAGCGATCAATATAATAAAACATGAAAAGAAAAAGATAAGACTCTCATATCTAATACTATGTAGAAAATCCAAAACAATTCACAAACTAATTGAATTATTAAAAGAATTCAGCATCACTGCTACATGCATGTCAATACACAAAAGTAATTTCATTTTAATGCCAGTAACAAGCAACTAGAAACTGAAATGTAAAGAATAGTATTTACAAGATCAGTAGAAATGTATAAAAGCCAGGAATAAATCTAACAGAAGACTTGCCAAATTCCTATAAAGAAAAACAAACAAACAAACAAACAAAAAAACACCATAGAAAATATAAAAGACCTAGGTAAATGGAAGGATATATCATGTTCGTTGGATTGTAAGAGTTCTTAATGGAAAGGTGCCAGTTTTCCTCAAATTGATGTATAGATTATAGGCAAGCCCATAAAAATCCCAGCAGGGCTTTTTTTTTTTTTTTTTTTTTTTAAGACACTAACAAAATTATTCGAAAATTTACATAGAAAAAAAAAAAAAAGCAAAAGCAGTGCCAAGTATGCCTGGAAAGAATCACAGAGTTACATGTCACAGGACCCAAAGCAGGGGGTGACTGTGGAGCCACAGCCAGTGAGACACTGTGGCCTTGGTGCAGGCACAGGCCAGGTTTCTTAGCCAACCTCAGCACTACTGACATTTAGAGCTGGGTGTTTTTTTTTTTTTTTTTTGGGGGGGGAATGTCCTGTGCAATGGAGGTTGCTTAGCAATATCCCTGGTCTCTACCCATGAGATGCCAGTAGCAGCCCCTGCACATACCTGTGACAACAAAAAACATCTCCAGAAATTGTAAAATGTCCCCTGGTGGGGGAAAAATTTACCCCCGGTTGAGAACTACTGGAATAGAAAACAGAGTCAATAAAATGAAAAATGAGATACAGACCATACATAGGGTTCTTTGATTTATGACTAAAGAGATATGGCCTCACACTATAGGCAAAGATCTATTCCCAAAACTTTGGTGCTCTAAATATGAAAGGTGAAAATTAAAATGAAGTTTCTAGATGACAATATAAGACAATATCTTCACGGGCTTGGAGCAGACAAAGATTCCTGAAATAGGGCACATAATAGCACAAACCATAAAAGGAAAAAAATGACACTGGATTTCATTAAAATTAAGAACTTCTGTTGAACAAAGGACATGCTACAAGATTAAAAAGGACAACCATAATGTTGGAGAAGGCATTTCTAAAGCAAATATCTGACAAGGACTACTGTCCAAAATAGATAATTAACCCCCACAACAAGAAACAGGCAGATGACCCAATTAAAGATGACCTAATATAGAGTTCTTGAGACACTTCTTAAAATAATATAAACACACGGCAATAAACATAAGGAAAGGGAGCCTTGTTAGTCATCAGGAAAATGCAAATTAAAGTCAAAAGAAGATACCACTCTATCTTATTAGCCAAATGAGCTAATGGAACATTATGAGCTAATGAACAATGAGCTAATGGAACAATGGAAAAGATATCTAAAATGAAAAATCAGACAATACCTAGTGTTGGTGAAAAGTTGGAACAACAGAAACCCTCCTATGATGCTCGAGGTGTTCCTATCCACACAAACACTAGCAATGCCTGCTAATGTTGGCCATTGGCTCCTCCCTGCCTCAGTGTAGCAGATACCCTTGGTGACCCACCCAGGCCATTTTATGAGCCAGGGCACCAATGTCCCAGCTCCTGAGAGGGTTAGCTGCTGAGGTCCCACACGTTTTCCAGAGAATGATTTTGCTGATGGGAGCCATCATGCATACAGATGCTTCACAATGTTATCCCCACCCCTCTGGGATGACACCCAGCCAATGCCCGGCTGATGCAAAGATACCAAAACCCTCAGAGGATCAATGCTGTGGTGCTGGTCACCCCCCAGAGCTCCCTATGGCATCAGGCTGCCCTGGACTCTACCTGAATCCATATATAGTATAGCTTCTCCCACACTGTCTCCTCCTTCCCTTGCTTCCTCCCAGCTTCCTCCTGAGAGCACCCTTTCTATAAATCACTTGCACATCTCAGATTCTGCTTCTGGGGAATGTGATCTAAGTTATCCAGTAATTCCACTCCTAAAAAGAATTTCACTCAATAGAAATGTTTGCATGAATCCACCAGAAACAGGAACAAAAATGTTACAGCATTGTTATTTATTGTAGGCATCCCGAATGGCCCTCAACAGTATAATGCATAAATCTTCTTCTTTGGTGGAATATTACATTGCAATGAACATGAACACACTACAACCACACACAACATGGGTGAATCTCCCACACATAATGATGAGTGAAGGAAGTCCAACACAAAAGAAAGCACACTGTGTACACATTGTGTGTAAAGTTCAACAATCAGAATTAATTCCTAATGATAGACCTTCTGATAGGGATTAGATTTTGAGAAAGCTGTAATTGGGAGGGGGCAGGAGTGTGCTTCCCAGATGCTGATAAACCTTCTTTTTCTTCCTTTGAGTAGGTAAAGACCCATTAACTACACAAAGTATTATTTATGTACATTTATGTATGTTATACTAAGTATATTTTAAAAGAGATCATATTGTTATATATCCAGTAATAAATTATACAAATGCACTGCTTGCAGAAAGTCGACTGATAATTCTTTATTGATTTTCTTTCTAGTATTTTATTATTCCTCAGGTCTCTTTCTGCTGAATAAGGTAAGCGCATTTCAACAATGTTTTCTCTACCTAAGTTGTCTATTCGTCCAGAAGGAATTGTATCCAGATTACTCCTAAAATCCTAAACTTCCTGATTCAGTTACCCCTGAGGCTTTCTCCATCTAAATCAATCACTCAATAATTATTGGACACTAGGAACCAGGCGCTGTTATAGGCTCTGGAGACGAAGTAGTGACTAAGACAGGTGTGGTCCTCTGCCTCATGGGGCCTACAACCTCCACAAAGACCCACACCTGGGAACCAACACCCATCAGTTCACTGGGAGACCCTTGGAGCGCAGTGGAAAATAAACATTTTCAAAACACTGAGATAAAAGCATCTTTCAAGATAATGATACAGCACACGCAAGGTCATCAGCAGCGAGTACCAGAGATGGAGACCAGCACAGCCACCCTTGAACTCACCAAAACCTCCAGAACGTCTGTGCCCCAAAAGGAAGGCACAAGGAAGTTCAAAATGTCTGAGATTGAATTTCCCACCAGCCTTCCAGGATATTGCTTGAGAGTCATATTTAATTCAGTCTTTTACAACATAAAGAAATATGACATTTCTCATCTTCCTCTGTGTGCAGACACAAATCCTTTCTCACTCCAAGGCAACAACAGCAGTAACAGAACGAGAACAGCTGAGCAGAAAGCCACAGCCCGGAGCGGCTGAGCTGGGGACACGGAGCACCAAGGAACAGAGTCGGGGGGTCACCGGGTGTAAATGTGGGTCTGAGTGTCCACTGTATCTTATGGAAGTGCTGATATCCAAGCCTTTTTGACCATAAAAACATCAGTTTCACAAGGTGTGTGCTAATGTTCCTAAGCACTAAGCATGCTCTCCCACTGGTCAGCAGAGTTCAGCGGGGTCCCTCTCAGCCACCAAGAGGTTCCATCCTGGTGGAAACACCTCAATTACCTGACTAAAAAACACCTCAGGCCGGGCGCGGTGGGTCATACCTGTAATCCCAACACTTTGGGAGGCCAAGGTGGGCGGATCACAAGGTCAGAAGATCAAGACCATCCTGGACAGCGTGGGGAAACCCCATCTCTACTGAAAATACAAAAATTATCTGGGCTTGGTGGCATGTGCCTGTCATCCCAGCTACTCGGGAGGCTGAGGCAGGAGAATCACTTGAACCAGGGAGTCGGAGGTTGCAGTGAACCAAGATAGTGCCACTGCACTCCAGCCTGGGCTGTTGTCTCAAACAACAACAACAACAACAACAAAAACTGTCTGATGCCACAACTACCTGTTCCTGGGCCAACAGGACTCAGGCCCAACCTGCATTCCCTACAGATGCCTCCTGATCAAGTGAATGGTGTGACTTTTTTCAAATGATCAAATGCTGCCCAAAGATTATGAACTAAGTACAGAAAAATATCCCATTTCATTACAGACAAGGACTTCTGAATGTGGCTCCACCCAGAGCACAGCAGTCCCAATGCCCAGGCCATGATGGGTTTTTATGCCTAGCTTATAAGAAGAAGATATTCTTACCAGGAAGTGGAAAATGCATCCAATTTCCACCTGTATCTTAATGAGATGAAATCAGTTACATTAAACAGAAAAGTACAGTCAACCTGGGCTATTAATTAGGAAGATCTAAACAAATCTTCTCCCATCATTCCCTTGCAGTTGGAAAGTCAAAATGTATATTCATTAAAATTAGGTTCTTAGAGTGTCCCCGCTGTGTTTATGTCAAGGGGATTTATCTATACAGGCCTTCCCAATGCTTTAAGAGAATCAAACCGTGGGTTTTGCATATCTCTCTTAAGGAAGGCCTTAATGCTCATGCAATTCAAATCACCATTCAGCTGTCTGTAATTTCAGTGACAACTGTCCCCGTCGCACATACATGCACCACTAATCAAAGACTGCAGCCTGAGCCTAAAGGCTGAGAAGATGTGCCAGGAAAGTGGCAGGCCTGGGGATTCTGCAGAGAGCAATAGACTTGAAACCAAATGCAAGAGGATTTTGTTAGCTGAGTTTACGTGCACTCAACCCCAGCTACAGAGTTGCATAGGGAAGAAAGCTGTCGTAACATACAAACATCCCCCCTATAAAGGACCACGAGAAAATTAGCCCCTTTCAAATGTCCCCGCCCACTCACCTGTAGCTCCTGCCCTGGTACATCCCAGCACTGCCTTCACAAGCCCGTTCCCACCACGGGAGGCTCATGTTGTCAGCATCTAAAAGGACAAGACAAATTGGTTTCAGAGGAAGTGTAAAGATCTCACAAATGATGTATGGTGTTATGAAATAGATAACTGTGATTTTGGAAAACACAGAGTCTTGTACAGAGGCATTCGCAAGAGGATTCTTCGGCCGAGACAAGAACTGAAAAGAGAACTTACGAGAATGGTGACCATGCAGACATTTTCAAAGAAAAAATAATTTGAATTAAGAAACGTTCTTGGCAGAGTGGTTATAGCATCTTTATAACAGTCAGTTAAAACAACCCAAAGCTCCATCAGGAGAGGAATGGATAAATAAATGATAGTACATGCATAGCAAGAAATAGCTCACAGAAATAACAATGAGTGAGTTGCAAAGAACAGTCGCCAGGATGAGCCTCACAGATGACAGACAGGCTGGGTGAAAAGCCAGACGCAAAAGAACTCACGATAACAATTCCATTTATATGAGGTTGGGGAAGAGGGGAAACTAGCCTGAGGTAAGGAAAGTCAGCACAGCGGACACGTGTGGGTGGGGAGGAGTTAATATCTGCAAAGAATCATGTGAGAAGACTCTGGAAGGTGGCAATGTTCTAGATCTGCATCTGAAAGCACCCGGATGTGAAAGTTCACTGGGCTGAATACAGAAGACATGCACTGTGCTCAAGTAATATGTTACTATAACTCATTTCTACATAAAAGTTTAAAGAATATTCTTGCAAAATTGATGAAGCCCTTGAATGAAGCCCTTGAATGACTCTCCAAAATGTCCTCTTCCTGATAGTTCTGTGAAAGTCAAGCAGAAAGGGAAGGATATTTTATTGTGCTGTCATACAACCTGGTTTGGAAAATTCTACAAAAAATAACACTCACCAGTCACAAAAGGACCACCATGTGTCATTTCACTTATATGACGTACCTAGAGTGGTCGAATACATAGGGAGGGGAAGTTGCATGGCAGCTGCCAGGGGCTGGGGGAAGGGGGAATGGAGAGTTGTTGGTTAATGGGGACAGAGCTTTAGTTTGGGATGATGAAAAAGTTTTGGAGATATTTGAAGGTGATGGCTGTACAATGGGAATGTTCTCAATGCCACTGACCGTATGCTAAAAAATGGTTAAAATGGTACATTTTATGTTACATATATTTTACCACAATTAAAAAAATTGGGAGGAAGTCAACTTGGTTTACTCTTTCTCTATTTTAAAATTAGCTTATAGTTATGATTATAATGTAAATATTAATTATAAGATAAACATATCTTCCTAGTTTCATTTCATTATTTTAAGATGAAGTTTCAACTAAGTTTGGGTTTGGGGAGGGATTTTCTTTTTACTGTTTAATAATAAAAAGCAGTTGCCCATTGTAAGGAACTAACTTGTGAAGCCTTTCTCTGGGGACCCCATATCCTAGGGTCCCAAGGACCCTTTGTTCAAAGGTTCTGCCAAGATTGTATTCAAATTTCTTTTTCTTAAAATGCATTTTAACTATTTTCAAAAAACCTGTAAAATAAAGAGCAACATGCTTAAATGTCATATATACCAAATTATAACACAGGTTAAACTGTGTTTGTGCAGAACTTCGAATAAATTCTCACGCAATTTTTGTGCATAATTTAATTTCCTTGAGCATGTTTTACTGCCTAAGAAGGCTGTCACTTTGAGTTGTACATTTAAAAAATTCAGTGCTTTTTCCATTTTACTCAGAAAAAATTATCTAAGCAAGCAAGCTGATAAAGCACACACATGCCTCTCTCAACTACATGCCAGGCAAGACAGGGAAGCACGTGTGTGGGGCGTGCTCCAGCATCACACGCAGTATGCCTACATGTATGACACATTGTGTATGTACACCGTAGGTATCACAACAAGAACATTTGTCACTGAGATACCAGCCAAAGCCTATGTAGAGTGGTCATTCTCTAACAGCCCCATTCTAAGTACATTAATTTCCATGATCTCATTTCAAACTATTTTCATATCTCATATCAAATCCTTAAAACAATCCCACAAGGTAGATCATGTTCTTCTCGCATTTTACAGAGGGAGAGGATAAAGTGAGGTGGAGTGAAGTCATTGGCCCAAGGCCACACAGCTAGTGAGTGGGGAGAACTGAAAAACAGAAGCATTAAGAGGCCAGACCCTGGCCTCCTCACCACTGCACTAAATGTGCACAATGGTGAGTGCACACCACATTGAGGTTGAACCTTAGAACATATAGATATTTCAGCACTTGAAATTTTAGGGCGCTTCTTGTCTGATCTTTCTATTTAAGGAAAGAAATGTGGGCTGTTAGCGGATATTATTGGCAATGCTGTACAAACACACAGGACCCGACAGGTTTACTACTCTGCCATTGCTGTCTTGACATTTTTAATAACTTTTGAACAAGGGATCCATCTTTTCATTTTGCATTAGGTCCCACAAATTATACACCAGTCCTGATTGTTAGTGTTTCAATTCACGTTGGAAAATGTTTCCTACTGCTTCTCTTTCAATCACACTGATTAGTGTAATTGATGAGATAGGAAGGCAAGGTGTTGAAAACATCTACAATTTTTACCTCTACACCAATATGAAGCCTAACATTCTTAATATTCTGCAACCAAAACAAAACACAAAAGCAAATCTGACCTTGAAACTAACATGAGGTGCAAATGTCCTCTGTCCCTTCTGTGGTGGGCACACGGTGCTGTCCTGCCACAGTTGGTACCCCCTCCCCTGGCCATAACGCCAATTTTTGTTTATGGTCTTCACCTCTCCATGCTCAGTCCTGGTACATGTGCAGCTCTGGCCCCAGCTTCTGGAATGGAGCCTGGGACAAGTTAATCAACTCAGCTCATTCTCGGGCACATGGTCCAGCTCAGTCCATCCAAGTGACTCTCTGGACTTGGGTTAGCCCTGGCTTTCCTGGCTGGACGTGAGGAGTATGGCCATCTGGCCACCATGAGCAAAGAGCAGGTCAGAGAATGGAACCAACTAGACTAGGTAGCCCTGGAGAGACTGAGTTGGTTGTTAAATTGTCAAAATACCTGCATACTTGCTGGCAAATAGCCACTGGCCTCAGGCCCTCCAAGTTATCCCTCTACCACCTGTCGCCCCAGCCCCTCCCCTGGTCCTTCTGTATCTCCCCACAATGCAGCAACTGAAGAAGTAACGCTGGCACAGCAGGGGTCTTCCAGGAGCCCTCGATGCTTTGGCCTGTGTTCCTTCTGGTTCCTCAGTGCCTGGTGGCTACACAGTTTGAATATCTCCCCTGGAGCCACCAAAAGGAAATGCAGCAGGGAAGTGGAGGGAGAGACACCAGCTCCCATGGAGGGCTTGAGCCCCTGTGTCAGCCTGCCGCCAAATCCAGTCCTAGCTCTTTATATCATGGGAGCCAATGAATGACACCATGCCTGGGCAGTTTGGGTTGGAATTCCTGCTACTTGCAAGCAAAAGAGTTTTAAATAATGCAACCCCAGTTTTAATGCTGATGCTATTCTCAGGTTCAATTTCCTCATGGGGAAATGGCTGAGTGCAAGTTGTAGGTCAAGAAATGTACAAGATTAGCCTAGACATTGTGTCATGCCCGACAACGGACAAAGCCACAATCAACCTGCAGCAGCTCCCACTGGCCAGAGATAATCACAGTCCATTGAAGTATATCAAACATATTCAAACCTATAAGTTAATAATACCATCCTCTACCTCGAAAACAAAAAGAAAATAAAAACTGATTGGTCATCTCTGGAGGATGCCAGGAAGTGAAGTTATTTTGAAAATTAGTAAATAAAAGGGGAAAGATTTAAGTTTTTATCCTAAATGTCCTATACAAACTATACCTCAGAGTAACCAAGGACTTGAATTGGAAGAAGTATTCTGACAGAGATGTTCCACCAAACAAATGAGAAAGAAATGACAGAACAAGGGCATTCTAATGTTGTCACACGTATTGAGTTAAGGTCTTACGCAGTGATCAGCAATGGTTGATCTAATGTCTCTGTTTCTCTCTCTACCTCCTCTCTCTGTTCCTCCCCCCATCTCTCAATCTCTCTACCTTTTTTCTTCCCTTTGTCCCTCTCGCCACCCATCTCTCTCTCTCTCTCTGTCTCTCTGTCTCTCTGTCTCTCTCTCTCACACACACACACACACACTCAAAAAGAAGAAAAAAGCATCCAGATGTGATGTACCCTTTGATGCTACCTATGAAACCTTTTGGCCAAAGTTTCTATTCTGAATTTCCTCCAACCTTTAGCCCTATCAGTTTATAGATGCACAGAGAACAGAGGAACATTAAATAACACCCCAGAGAACCAAGCATTAAAATTCAAACTGCCAAAAAAAAACTCCACAGGACTAATAAACAAGTAAATTACAAGAGATGAGGAAAAATACAGATAAAAAATATTGAGAAATTTATCAACCAATTGCAACGTATGGACCTTATTTAGACTCTGTTTTGAACAAACTAAATGTAAAAGAAAAATTTATAAGGTATCTGGGGAAATTTGTGCACTGACTAGGTAGTGAATAAAATTGAGGAATTATTGATACTTTAAATACTATTGTAGCTATGTGTAAAAACAAAAATCTTTATCTCTTAGAGATACATGTAAATCTTAAAACCATTAGTTGGGGAGTGGGCAGGAGTACCCGTAAAACGAGGTTATCAGGGAATGGTAAGTGTTGAAGTTGAGCGACAGATACATGAGGTTGATTACTTTAACATTTTACAAATGGTTTCTTTTAATTTTCTTATTATATTTATCAAATATACAAGATGGCTTCAAAAAATCTTGGAAAATATGTGTTATTAAAAAACTGTGTGTGGATTTCAAAAATTTTGTAATTTTTTTTGAAAATTTTCAATTTTTGCACCAAAATAAACTCATACTAACTTGTTATAACATGTCTGAATAGGATCCAGTTTGAAGTACTAAGAAGGATAAGACAACAGTTTGCAAAAAGCCCCTCTCAGAGCAACATAAATTCTGCTAAATGTGAAAAAAGAACAAACGTCAAGTTTATGGTGAAGTTTGTGTGGAAGAGCATGAAATCATTGATGCTTTATAAAAAATGTATGAGGACAATACCCCAAAGAAATCAACAATTTACAGATGCATAACTCATTATATGAAGCGACAACACAATGTTAAAGATGAAGCCTGCAGCAGCAGAGACCACACCCCTAATTTGCAAGGAAAATATGCATCATGTTCATGCCGTAATTGAAGAGGACTGACAATTAACAGTGCAATCAATCACCAACACCATAGTTGGTTCAGTTTGCACAATTCTGACTGAAAAAATATATTTGAGCAAATTTCCACTCAATGGGTGCCAAAATTGTTGCACCTATATCAGCTGCAGACAAGTGAAGAGCTTTCAATGAAAACTTTAAACAAGTGAAATCAAGCTCCTGAAGTACTCCTTTAAAGAACTGTAACAGGAAGTGAAACATGGCTTTACCAGTACCATCCTGAAGACAAAGCACAACCAAACAACAGCTACCAAGAGTGACCCAGTCAAAATACAAGTGCACTGGGCTAGAGCAAAAGTCATGACAACAGCTTTTTGGGCTGCTCAAATTTGCTTATTGACTTCCTGTGAGGCCAAACAACAATAACATCTGCTTGTTATGAGAGTGTTTTGAGAAAACCAAAGTGTCAGCAGCAAAAATACCCAGGAAAGCCAGAGAGTCCTTCTCCACCACGAGAATATTCCTGCTCATTCCTTTCCTCAAACAAGGGCAATCTGGGGAACATTTTGATGGAAAATCATTAGGCATGCACCTTACAGACCTGATTTGGCTGCTTTTGACTTTTTTTTTTTGGTCTCCTAATATTAAAAAAATTGTAAAGGAAACCCATTTTTCTTCAGTTAATAATGGAAAAAGAACTGAATTGACATGGTTAAATTCCCAGGACCCTCAATTCTTTGGGGATGGTCTAAATGGTTGGTGTTCCTGCTTACAAAAGCATCTTGACCTTAATGGAGCTTATGTTAAGAAAGTTTATATTCTTTATTTTTATCTCTTAATTCGATTTTTCCATGAACGTTTTGAAGTCCCCTTGTACATTAAGTATATATTGAAATTTTAAGTTTATATACAATAATTTATTCTAACACTATGCCATTTGTACTGATCTTACAGTACAAGTTCCACAAGACATTAAAGTTCCACAAGATATTCAACTTTTGGAAAGAGGTCCTTATGTGCCCCTCCCCACTCTCAAAATACAATTTTATAGCTTCTACCTTCTGTGATTATTCTGCGATTATTCATTGCACCATTACAACATTTATAAAAATGAGTAATATGGACCTAGATCTGAGCATCCAATTCAGTGGCCAATAGCCACATTTTGCTACTGAGCACTTGGAATGCAGTTAGTCCAAACTGAGATGTGCCACAATTAAAATATACACTCTGCTGGATTTCAAGGATTTACTACAAGAGAAAGGTAAAATATCCCATTACATGTGTTATATGAACAACATGTCGAAGTGATAGTATTTTGGATATATTAGTTTAATAAAGTATAATATATGTTTTTTTGAGATTATAATAAAGTATAATATATATTTGTTTTTTTCAGTTGCCCAGGCTGGAGGGTAGTGGCACCATGTTGGCTCACTACAACCAGCATTTTGGGAGGCTGAGGTGGGTGGATCACCTGAGGTCAGGAGTTCGAGACTAGCATGACCAACATGATGAAACCCCATCTCTACCAAAAAATACAAAATTTAGCCAGGTGTTGTGGCAGGTGCCTGTAATCCCAGCTACTTGGGAGACTGAGGCAGGAGAATAAAGTATATTATTAAAAGTAATTTTACCTTTTTCCTTTTGTGTTTTAACAGGACTACCAGAAAATCTAAATTACGCATTTGACTTCTATCATATATCTATTGTATAGTGCCACTCGAGATAAGCAATGAGTAAAGCAAGTATATGGAGTGACCATTTAATTTATGATCCAAAGTGGGACAATTGGACAGTGCCCACAGGCATTCTTAATAATCACACTAGAACAACAGGCATAAGCCAGGACATATGCTTACCTCACTAATGAACCAGCAAATGTGATTGTTGAAAACATAACAGAAATAAAAGATTCCTCTTGTAACTTCAACTGCTCTTGAAGGGGTGCCTTGCTGCCTGCTTTGTCTTCATGGATTTGTTGTTAGGTTGCAGTGTGGACCTTGCAGAGGTTGCAAATACCCTGAGAGTTTGGAGTTTTAGGAAAAATCTGAGGGAGGAGCAAGAAATATGGAATGAATCAGAGAAACTCCCTGGCAAAGGACTGGGGGTGGTCAAAGGGCATTTTAACAACAGCATTACTACCTAACTATTCTACTTGAACTTCTTTTTTTCTTTTTCTTCTTATTCTAGTACAAATTTTCCCCCTCATTCTCATCATTCTTATCTCTAGTTTTTTTTTTTTTTTTTTTTTTTTTTAAGGTTTCTGTTTTCACACACTTTATATGTGACTAGGGCCAATTTATGATTTGTAAAGAAAAAGATTTTTTCCATCTGGCTCAATGTGGGGCACAATAGCCCACAGGCAAGGCGGGTGTCCCCTGGGATGCAAAGAAACCAAGAGAATGAGCTCCCACCCTCTGAGCCACCGCTCACCCTGCTGCCCACTAGAGGAGAGGAGAAATTTCAGTGCAGGGTTTTGCCTTTCCAAATATGGGACGTGATAGGAGCTGGCCCTGACCTTGTCGCCTCAGAGGACCAGGAGGTCCCAGCCAACATCAGGAATATGATAGTAAAGGTTGAGTAATAATGACAAAATAATACTCTGAGAATTATTCAGTAGTTTCCAACTACAATAGTTCTCCCTTCAGAAATGCATAAGGTTGGCATTCATTTTGCTCTAGAGACAGCATCCCTTATTAGAGGAAAGTGAAAAGGAAAGCAACAATACCCAAAAAGAGGCAGAAAATGAAAAGCTGCAAGCTTCCACCGGCCTAGAGGATGCAATTTCTCTTTGCTTATTTAAGAACAACTGGGATGCATCGAACACCCTATAAAAGGCCGGCTGTGGACTCACATGTTTTATCTCCTTATTACAACATCACTGTGTGCTGCTGAAAATGGCCAATTGTGTAGCAACGAATCATTCCCAAGGGCAGCATCTGCCTCATTGCTGTTGACAATGCTTTGGAAACAGCACTGGGTTGCTTTCCAGATTCCTCAGACCTCTGCCCAAGAGGTGACCTGAGCTGATTCTCACAGAATCCATAGAAATAATGTGTTGGCATAAGCTAGTCCAAATTCAGGCTGCTGGACTCAAAATTCGTGTCCCCGAAGAGCAGTTAAGTAGGTGTCATCTCCTCCCGCCCACTCCCCTGGTAATCCACTGTTTAAAACTAACTAGGCATCCACCTTAGAAACATTTACTGGACAAGAGCTCTATGTCAGGCCATGCAGTACAGTCACAGGCAGGTTTCATTGCATCTTCACAGCACTAACAGGTATGCATTTTTTATTATCCTCACTTCACACATCAGAAATGGAGACACACAGAGGTTACATAACTAATGTGGCCAAAATGGAAGAGCAGGTCGGAAAAAAAGCCATGTCTCCTGACTCCAAAGGGCGTGGTGGTAACGCACACAGGGCCACTCCCCAACACATGCGTCATATGTTAATTACCTATAAATCCATGTGAAATTTTCATTCATTCATTCATTCACTTAAACTTGATTCGATGCTTCCAGCTGCCCTGGGTACAAAAATAAATAAAATCTGGTCCCTGACTTAATTCAAGAAATTCACCATCTGGCTGAGAATAATTTTGGAATGCAAAGGTCCAAACCCCCACTTATTTGTTTTCTGATTTTGAAAAAGTTTTTGTACTGGGTTTACCCATACTAGGATTTTGCATTTTGTTTGTTTTCTCTGAGCTTGGCGGCAGAAAGACCTGTAATCAAAGACTGTATTTTTTTCATTGTTTTATTTCCTGTCTATTATATTTTGGATTCGGGACCCACTTTTCTACAAAGTCTTTCATTTGCATCTGTATACTATAAATATGCAAATCCCAAACAATCAGGAAAGGAAAAACTCAGCCAAACCAGGCACTTGACATCAGGGTAGTTTACTGACTTCTGACTCTACTATTAGCCAGTTTGTGCATAGCAGACATTACAAAGTGGCAGTTTAGCCTAAAATGAGCTTTATTTGGCCTGTTCAGTATTTTACTTCTGAGTGAATCAGTGTTTTAAAAATATAAAACGTTACATAAAAATCCAGATTTCTGGTATTTGTTGAAAAATTTGAAATTCTCATAACAAAACCCTGGGCCCACATGCCTACCTGGCAACAAGGGCTGGAGCGGAACAGTGGCTGTCCCTGTTGGTGGCATGCTCATTCCAGCTCCCCACGATCCCCACCACTCCCGACTGAATCCCCATCCTTGAGACCCTGTGTACCAGTTGTCATCCGGCCCCTCTCTTAGACAGTTGATTTCCTATGGTATGTGGCTATTTCTGTATCTGTATATTTATCCAAATACGTAAAATAAAACTCAAACTAAAAGGGCCTGATGAGTATTTTTCTATGCAACCTGCCTCGCTCATTTGCCTGACTACCTGATCCCTGTCGATATGGCTTTGACCCACAGTGTCAACAAATTGCATTCCCAATCAGACCAACAGAAGGATGTGCAACTCAAGTTGTTTCAGTGGAGTGTGTGGCTGAAAACCTCTATAGCCTACATGTGTCCATTACCTAGAGCTGAATAACAGACCTCCCCACAACTCAGTGACTTAAAACAAGCATTTATTTGGCTTTTAATTGTGTGTGTCTGAAACCTGGACTTGGCTCAAGTAGGTAGCTCTTCTACTGGTCTCACTAGACGCACTCATCTGTGGTCAGCTGGTGGTCATTGAACTAACATGCCTGCCCACAGGCTGGCTGGTTGCAGGCCGAGGCCATGAAGGTACCTAGGTGTCCTGTCTTTTATCACCCAGCAGGCCTGCCCAAGCTTGTTCTTGGGAAATGGTTGTAAAGTTCTTGCATGAGTTTGCTAAAACTGCCATAACAGAATACCGCCAATTAGGGGGGCCCTTAAACAATAGGACTTTACTTTCTCACAGTACCGAAGGCTGGAAATTTAAGATCAAGGTGCCAGCAGGACTGGTTTCCAGTGAGGCCTCTCTTCCTGGATTGTGGATGGGTGCCTTCTTACTCTGTCCTCACGTGACCTTTCCTCTGTGAGCCTGTGGAGAGGAAGTGGTCTCTGGTATTTCTCCCTCCTCTTATGAGAACACAGTCCTATCAGAGTAGGTCCCACCCTTCTGGCCTCAGTTAACTTTAATTACTTCTTTAAAGGCTTTACATTCAAATATAGTCACATTGAGGGTTAGGGCTTCATCCTATGAATTTTAGTGGGATGCAATCGGTCCATAACAGTTCCCAAGAGCGAACAGAAGACAAGCCCTTTGTGTAACATTTGATTTTTTCTCATTGACCTAAACAAGTCCCCTGGCCAGGCTCTGAGTCAGTGTGAGAGGGGACCACACTGACACAAATGCCAGGACACAGAGAGGCATGAACAAATGAGGGGCTGTGACAGCAGCAATCCACCATGTCCAGACCAATTTTCTTCAACTGCTGCTTACTCTAGGTCAGTGCATTTTAGATCCATGCTGTGGGGGTTACTGTGGTTCACTATCTAACAGCTGATTCTCATCAGCAGGTAATTTTGAGAGGATTATGGGCTCCCTTTCCCCTTCAATGACTGATGGGGGAGTGGGCCTGGACCCAGTGCAGATAAAATGGAAATGTCTGCCGCATGTCCTTAGGGAAAAGGTTTCCAGGCTCCAATAAAGAACCGGAGAAGAGAAGATCCTGCTCCTGGACGTTGTTGAGTCAGATAATGCCTGGATCAACTGTGGCCACCTTGCCATCTCTGGAGGATGATGCCAATCCCTCAAAGGCAATGCGAGCCCAGAAAAATGCAGATAAAGGCTCCAGAGCCTGACATCCATGCCTAGACCCCATTCTGACTCCGGATTTCTTGTTACACAGCACCATGGATATCCTTGTTGCTTGGATTGGTCTGAGTCACTGTGTTCAGTCGCTTATAGTCTAATGCAGACCAACAATGCAGACACTGATTAGACTGGCCCATCCATGTGGAGCCAGGGAGGTCACACACATTTCATGGGGAGCCCTGGATTCTATGTTTATGTTGGCAGGGTGGCCTGGGGCGGCTGCTGTCTCAGCTTCCTCCACTGAAAAAGTAGAAAATGTCTATTCTATAACTCCAAGCGTGGATTTATGATCAGAGGAGATAATGCATAGGAAAGCATTTCACGCTGTATAAATTGTCAAACCACTGTAAAGAAATGAGAAAACAGCATCTTTAAGGATGAAAGGATTGACAGCTAATCGCTAGAATTATGTCATATCAACAATCCATCCATCCAGTCAAGTCAGTCAGAGGACTGTCAAACCTGTTTACTGTTACAGAGACCAAAATAACCACATATTCTACAACAGACCTCCACCTATAATTAACCTTTCAATTAAATGAAGATAGCCTCAGCATTGTGTGAGTGCTAAGAGTGGTTAAAGGGTGGAGGCACTGGGAGGAAGCAGGTCCGCATCAGCTAGGATGATTTCAACTGCAAGGAGCCAGCACCTAACTCATCCTGACTTAGAAAATAATTTATTGGCTCAACTATGAAGAGTACAGCAGTAGGGCATCTACCTGAGGATTTCAGGATTTCAGTGGCTCAGTGACAGCCTAAAATCCAGCTTCCCTCTTCCTCTGCCTTCTGTCTTTCATGGTATTGGCCTTATACTCACAAATGTCCAGGGAGCAATTGCTAGGCGTATCCTCAAGTAAGATCACGCATTTAGTCACTGCACTTGACTGTGTAAAAAGCATAAATTTCTTCAATGAAAAGAATATAAATATATCCAATTTTTATAACCCTATTTCAAGATTCGTTCATTTGTCAATGTATTGGAAGCTTCGGGAATTGACAAGTGCGTGGGCTTCCTCAATATGAAGAAGTCCTGTTTGTCCTGATATAACTGATGATTGGTCCAGAAGCCATTTGCCTGAAAACTTTCTTTCTGGAATGCAGCTTGTCTTCATCTTGCACACACACACTTGGATGCCTGCATGTGTTGAGATGGGCTGAAATGACCCAATAACAGATCCCCACTTTCGCCACAGACATAAAGAAATGTTTGTACTTGAGATGGGAGCAACAGGCCCCTACTGTA